TATGTATCTGTATATCTGTATTTTAACAACATCTATCAGCGCTGCATACTTTCAGATCAACGATTCGAAAAAGTCAAAAGTATATGTACTGCGCATGACTGGACTACACAGGCAAAGCTCCCCGGTGTGTTATTCATTTGCATGTACAGTACTAGGCCAAAGAATATAGGCTAGGCCTACGTGTTTGCAAAACTGGATAACCTGGAAAAAAAAATTAATTGTATGGCTCGCATGACTCGCACTTTGACACTACTCATATCAGATGTGTCTAGGCCTACACCAGGTCCGATGTGTCGCCCAAAGAGAAGCCTACATTACGTATGTGTCTAGGCCTAGGTACACCAGGTCCGTCAATCAACTGTTTAAGTATACTAAAACACGAATAGAACACACAAAACACATTCAAATAATAGCACAGGTAAGTGACTGATGTGCCACAACTATCTCAGCTTGCTCAATGTTTACTGACAGTCGCGAAAACAACATAAAGAACTTTTCTAGGCAGCTCGCGACAGAAACAAAATGTCGGGATAGTTTGACCCGATGCATGCGCAAATCAAATTTTCGACTAAAAAACGACTCAAAATTGGTGGTAGGGGGTATATGTTTTATCGCCTACAGCTTACATTTTATATCTAACTGAAAAAACAAACATTTCTTGCACAATTGCATGTCCACCAGCGACTATCGAGCACAATGTATACCTGCCGCGATGCACCGTTTCGGAGCCTATTTGTTTAAAAATAGGCTGACCTCTTTTGGTTGCACATCTCATACACACATTTTACATGCGAACCATTACATATGTTCCATGTGACCTAAGGTCACAAAGGAAATAATAATGTCAGTCAAGGTATGAACTGTGAATCAAATCATGAGCTGTCAATCAAAGTATCAACTGTCAAAGCATGAACTGTCAATCAAAATGAACTTCAATTCATTTCTTATTATCAATAAAAACAAAATACAATGTAAGGAATGACAATAATGGACTGTGAACCAAATTATGAACTCACTCAAATTATTTATATTAATAATTAAACCTTTAATGTAATAGCCAGTGATTCTCATAAGCCTTACTTTAATAAATTCTGCAAAGAAGAAAGCCCAGACTGGCCAGACAACACCTTGCACCGATGACCAAAAACAACCATTGGCAATAATCAGCCATTCTGGGGAGTTCAACCGCAAAATATCCATGTACTTAACCTCTGGTGCTGGTTGCTGATAACAAAATAAAGAAAAAATTTAAACAATCCATTTTATTAAGGATATACCTTACAAAACTCTGCCAAACTTTGTGTGACTAGGTACAGTAGAACTAGTTTGCCCAAAGAACTCATCACATCATCAATTGTAGATTGCAATGCAATGCTACCATAGTGGATGCAGCGTTAGCAGGCATGGCATGAGCACAGTTACCAGACTAAAATTACTGGGTTACTATCATCACTTGACCAATGCTTGCATAAGTTGCTTTTTTTTGCATAAAAGAGAACAAGAGAAACTGAAAGCAGCTTTTCTTCAGCAGCATTGAAAAAACCAGAGTGCTTATGCCACCCCAAAACACAGGACTCACAGCTGTTTACAGTTTCTGGCCAGTTGCAAAAGATCAGTTTATGTCTGAAGGTGACATAAGATAAACTTAAGTGTAAAGAAAGAAATTAAAGAGATTGATTTGCTGCTTACATCCTCTAATTCCAACTCCTCAATTTTCTGCTCCTCCTTGCCAGCCTTTCCCATAGATTTCTCTGAGTGAGTTGAGCGAGTTGACATCTGACGGCTGAGGCGAGTAGAGATTTGTCGTTTTATTGGCGAGTTTGGCACAGCAGCACTGGAATTCTCTCCATCATTCATTGCTACAAAAAGATACACATTAATTAAATACTTATCGCAAAGCTGCACAACATTATTCACTTAACTTCGGAAGAAGTTGATTGATATCAAGTTGATTGTAAACATTTATAATTTTTTTAGTATCCATGTCTCCGACAACCATAAAAGATAGGAGCATTTTGATGTGTATTAAGAATTACCTATTGTAAAGTTTTTGACACAGTTATTTAATGGCATTTCTGAGAGGGAAGGGGGAGGATCTGAATACTAAATCATTAATCGTTAATGGAGAAATTGAAAAATCTGAAAAAAATGTCAGCCCCCACCTTCTTGCTCTTCTTGCTTGCGCAGCTCCTGTAGAGTAACCAGCTGCGCATACACGCCGTTCTTGGCCATCAACTCGTCATGGCTTCCGCTCTCGGCAACAGAGCCCTCGTCGATCGCATAAATTACATCTGCGTTTTTTATGGTTGATAAGCGATGAGCAATCACAAGTGTTGTACGTCCAACTTGAGCCTTTAAATTGATTTGAAAATAATTTGATTAAGCTTTGCCTACACTATAAAATTTTATGTGACAAATAAAGGCCTGTTTATACTTCAACAATAACTATAACGATAAAAAGCTAAAAAGCAATTGTTCATACAGAAAATAAAAGAAATAAGAGAAGTTTTTACACTATAATGATTCGATAATGATTTATCAGTTATGCGATAACAACATATTTTGACAAATCAAATCAGATGACGTCAGAATCATGGGAAAACATTAAAATCATAGTAGTAGCAACGATTGTATCGTTTTTCCATGATTATGACATCATCTGATTTGATTTGTTAAAATATTTTGTTATTGTATACACAATAAATCGTTACACTGATCAAATAATCCAAGTATACTTATACCAAATAATGCATAGTTTCAGAGAATATTGACCAATAAAGAAAGCCACATGACCAAATAAAGGTAAAAAAAATCAAACTTGCTAAATGTTGTCATGTTTGGTATCGATGGAAAGCTCTCCCAATGCTGAATAATAATGTTTTATAGAACAATGCCACTGTCTTGGCTTTCTAGCCACACCCCACCCTTCTTTTCAGACCGTGAGTTTGAGCTTTTGTATAGCTTTTCACTGGTAGGCTCAGCCTTTGTTTAGTTTTCAACCAATCAGCAGCAAGTCTCATCACTCAAACATATAAGTATTTCCCTGTTTGAGATCTCTGCAGATATTATTCTCCTGAAGACGGTTGAAGCAAGTCAACCGAAACGTCGAGATATTCTCAACCAACAACAACAGTTCTTTTCAGAACTATCAACGTGGTGTACCGCAAGCATTAATTATATAATGTTTTACAGTACACAAATATCAGAAACTGTGTAGTTTTCCACATATTATCCAGTAAATGTAAATTTTACATATGGAACCCCACTATAGCCAAGATAGTTAAAGCCAGCTTTGCTTTTCATTCAGAATTTTGCAATTTCGCGCGCAAAAATAAAGGGCTTTACAGTAATTCTAAGCAATACAAAGTTTTATGTTGAGCTCCAAAAAATTGTTTATCTATTGCAGTTAGAAAATTTTTTTTTTTCTCATAAAACTTATAATAATAAAATTATACTACTGTAGTTACCTCTTGAATTTAAACTTTAACAACTTAGAAATCCGAAAATCTTATAGTGGCTAAGTTGATAAATTGGATACATAAAAAAAAACCTAATACAATCAACTTACCGCATCCAGAGCTTCCTGGACAACTCTCTCACTCTCTGAATCCAGTGCTGATGTTGCTTCATCCAGTAGCAGAATCTTTGGATTGCGAACAAGAGCTCTTGCAATGGCAACTCTTTGCTTCTGTCCACCAGATAGCTGCGTGCCACGTTCACCAACCATGGTGTTGTAGCCCTGTTGAAGATGATTAAAGCTGCTGAAAGATAGTCCTAAATAACCAGTAGGCCTACATAACTGTAAGAGTTTACACAAGACTTTTTCTATACCTTGTTTTATGAACTTATTGTTACTTATTGATTGTCAGAGGAGGGTGGAAAAAAATAAAAATAAAATGTTGTTTTCTTATTTAGCATATAGTCCAGATGAAGGAGAAAATATAAATAAGATTTTATTGGTGAATGGATTTAATTCACAATATCAATTTTTGTTAGAAAGTTTGGGAGTACGTTAAATACCTCAGGGAGTTTAGAGATAAAATCATGAGCATTTGCTGATTTAGCCGCTGCTACAATTTCATCATTAGTCACTCCATCTCGACCATAGGCAATGTTCTCATAGATAGTTGTGGCAAAGAGAATAGGTTCTTGACTGACAACACCAATGCAATCCTTTCGCATCCAATTAATATTCAGGTCTGTCAAATCATTTCCATCAATGATGATCTGGAAGGGAGAATTTACAGTTACAAAAAATCTACAAGCTTGTGAGGTACAGTATGGTACTTTCTAGCCCAGCACCAATGGTTCATTCAAAAAAAAGAATCTAAAAAAAACAAAAAAACACTTTTCAAGGCTCATTTGGTATTTTTGCCATAGAATTGGTAATCAATTCAGGAACATTGTTTATTCCTGTGTACCTACACATGCCTGGAAAGACTGAACTCATGAATATTAATGTATACTTTAAAACTAACTACCAAGCTTGTGAAACCACTGGCTTAGGTTATCATTACTTCAAGATGTCTACCGATTCGTGGAGAAGGTGTATTAAAATAAAAAATATTGGCGTTTGTGAGCAATACATTTTAATTTTATACAGGTAAGTAGTAAGTTTATGAATAATTTTAATGCACTAGTTAGTTGATAACTTCATTCTAATTTATTTTAGGTCTTTTTTCTGTATTTTTATAAGTGGTTACACATGGCCTAGGCTAGCCAATGTGATGCTCAATGTACAGTAGGACAGCCGATAGACGATTTGTCCGTTATATCGCGATTTTTCGATCTTACTTCCGCATTTGCTTTGCGCAGCGCCACCTATCGTTTCAAAGCGTAACCACGTTTTAGCGTCGCTTAGCAAAATTGCATCAACTCTATTTATAGCTGTCTCTTATACACATCTAGATGTGTATAAGAGACAGAGACTATATTTACTAAGCCAACTTCCCTTTTTTCTGTTAAAAACACAAAATCTAGCCCAATGCGAGATGGTACACAATACACAACAATATACAATATAATAATAAAGATATTATATAGACAAATGAAATAGCAAATGTTAATTGAAAATATAACAAAATTATAGGATTGATTGTCTGACAGTGAAAGGATATTAAAGCCGGGCACACCATGCACCGACAAATCCATCCCCCACATCCCACTGATCATGTGATGCTGTCAATAGAGGTTCCTTGCGGCTTGTTGTTGAAAATAATTGTAAGTTCCTCATCATATTGCAGTCTCTCTCTAGATGCTGTGTGCATGGGCGAATCAGAACGATAGGAGCCAATGCAATAATTTAAAAATCAGTTTATCTGGTTACGTATTAGAGAGTATGAGGATTTTCTTTTTCTGAAACAATTTCCAATGTAAAAGTCACCAAAACAGTGCAACAAAATCAAAAGCTAAGTTGTCCATCCAGAAGGCAAAATTCTAGAGTGTTGTGGCATTTTCTGGCCAACTACTGCACCTGAATTTGCATAAATTTATAAAGTCATTGCAGTAGGACAGCCGATAGACGATTTGTCCGTTATATCGCGATTTTTCGATCTTACTTCCGCATTTGCTTTGCGCAGCGCCACCTATCGTTTCAAAGCGTAACCACGTTTTAGCGTCGCTTAGCAAAATTGCATCAACTCTATTTATAGTTCTCATTAATAGATAAGGCCCGCCCATGGCTTCCTTATATGGTAAAAACATTTCCAAATAAGTCTAGTTTCGGAACCAATCGGAGTTGTTTGGGAAAACCCACGTTAACGCAAAGCATTTATCCTGTCTCTTATACACATCTAGATGTGTATAAGAGACAGGGCCACTGTTTCCCCACTATCCTCAAGGATTAAAGGTTCTGCTTCATTAATTGTCTGCTCAGATGCTGATTTGGAAAAAAAAAAAGATATTTAT